TTAAGGTATTATTTTGTTCTATTATCATTTATAAAGAAATACTATTATTTAAGTTATCAGATTCTACTTCTTCACTATATTTGATACTCATGCAAATGTTATTGGCAAGGTCGAGAAACCGGATTCTGATACCAATTTCAATTGCAAATTGAGTGATTTAATTTAATGTTAATTCTTGCAAAAAAATTCATTTATAATCAATACTTGCCTTTTCTAAGGATATTTTGTCTTGAATATTAACAATTCTCTAGTTATAATTTATTACATATTGTCTAGAAAAAATGGCCAAAAGATAATTTAATCTATTTAACTCACTTTTTAATTCAGAAATATAATCTAAACTATCTTTTATTTCAGCTATAAATGTCTAGAAGAAATACCCTTCAAGTTTTTTATTTTTTTTTATTTTTATCGACAAAAATCAATTATTAATTATTAGACTAACACCTATAATCTTCCCACCCTTGCAAAGTACCAAGTTATTACCTCTTAATTCAACTACCCCTTTAGGGAGAATTGAACCATGACATCCCTCCAAGTCATTACCCATTTCTACTTCTTCCTATTACGTCATTGCAATAACCAATTAAAAAGATATCAAATAAACAACACAATAATAAAAAGGCTCCAAAACCTACATACTACAAATCCAGATTAGTAGAGAGAGCTTCTATCGGCAACATCTACGAGCACCTGCACGATGAACATAAAACAAAGAATCATACCTTACCTCGAAGATCAAGTAACCGATGAAGAGTGTCACCTATGAGGAACATGGAAAATGGTTGGGTCTTTCCAACTATCTTCTATGCAATGTTCCCTTTTTCGTTTATTATGCTTGTTGCATTGAGAGGCATGAATATCTTCCATTGCAATACAAGGTGGTGGACGTTTGCGTTTGGTTGAAGAACTTGAACTCGCTTAAATCCACTCCCACGATAAAATACTAGGCTTTTCACATATCGCTCAGACAACTCATGAGCTTGTGCAAAAGAAAAAAGTAAACTTTGATCTAGCTTTTGGACATCCACGAAGAGCTAACAAGTTTTTTAACCTGAACTAACCTCTAGACTACGGGACTTAGACAAGACAACTAACCAACAAAACTAATCTCTATGGTGGAATCACAGGTACCCTCACATGGGTTACCTAAGTTTGCATATTCATAATTATCCACTTCAACAACCATGCTTGATTGGTAATTCTATTTCGCTTGAAGCTCAGCAACCGAAAGGCTAGGCTAATGAAAAAAATCAAAATTGTTGCTAACTAGTCTCCCACAAACTAGATTCAATGAGGAGAAAATGTATTCCTATTTTTTTTTTATCAGCAGAGAAAATGTATTCCTATGATCACTTGTTTCTTACTTCTTCTAGAATGCTTGGGTTTTAACTTGTTTTTAGCATTCAATATTGATCGATTGTAACTTCCCTGAGATGTGTTGATACCCTTCTCACCATGTTTGGATGTGCCACAATTTCCTATCTCGCCTCCCATAGTACAAACCTCTTCCATTTCAGAAGGATTATTAGGTATCACTACAGAGGGTGACATGGCTAGACATCCCTAGTTCTTTTGGTGAGAATAGATCAGATCATCTTCAATCACGAAATTTGAATCCATGGTTTTAACAGAATTCACCACAGCCTCCCCAATCAAATTTATAATCATCACAAAGGGTATTTTTAATAAGTGCCATTTTTAGACGATCCAAGTAAGAAAACATATCAGAATGGGACAAGCCTTTTATCTTGTAGTGTAACACACAAGATTCCGGCAATATAGCAAGTCCTTTCCCTTTTTCTTGATTCGCTAAATGCCAATCTTCAGAAGTAACGAGAAAACTATTCTTCAACGTACTCGAATAATCGACCAAAATAGAGCTAATTTGTCAAAATTCAAACCAAACGTTCCAAACCTAAACCAAAGCTAAAGAAGCTAAAAATTTTAGATTTAATAAAGAAATCGATAATAAATAATAATGGCCATATTTGGTATCACTTATAAATTAAACTTTAATGATTGTAACTTTTTAGATTATTAATTGGCTTAAAATATGTAAAATCAGTTGAACACTTGCTTAGTATAGCCTTTCATAATTTATATAAAAAACTTGAACATATTTGATTAAGTTGTCACATGCTTTTTTATTGTACAAATATCTAAGATATCATCGAAAGTCGTAATTATGGTGAGAGACTTGTGTCTCTTTTGTCCATAATTATTCAAGGGTTTCAAATAAGTTAGAAAATCTACAAATTATAACTTAAAAAAATCTCACCTATTTGGGCCAAATAAGTTGAAAAAGATAGGAAAAATTATGCAAATAGTCCTTGTACTTTACATGATATGTCAATTTGGTCCCTATAGTTTCAATTTACTCGATTTTGCCCCTTAATTTAACAGATTGTCATTTTAATCCAATAAATAACGGTTATTAAGTTAATTTAATGGAAATTCAAATAATGTGTCAATTTAGTCCCTGTATTTTTCACAATGTGTCAATTTAGTTCCTGTCAAAATCGAGAAAATTGAAACTACAGGGACCAAATTAACACATCGTGTAAAGTACAGGGACCAAATTGATACATTGTTTGACCTTCCGTTAAATTAACTTAACAACAGTTATTTATTAGACTAAAATGACACAATCCGTTAAATTAAGGGGCAAAATCGAGCACATTGAAACTATAGGGACCGAATTGGCACATCGTGTAAATTACAGGGACTATTTGCATAATTTACCCAAAAAGATAAAAAGAAGTTTCAGTCTCTAAGGTATGCGTTATTTTTCATTTTAGTTCTTTAAATTTCAATTTTGTTATTTTGGTCGTCAATATGTCAATTTGAGTCAATTTAATCGTAGGTCTAACGTTCGTCTACATTGATAAGATGAATATGGATAAAAGATAGTTTTAGTCCCTAAAGTATATACTATTTCTTGTCACTTTAGTCTCTTAAGTTTAAATTTTGTCACTTGGATCCTCAAAATTGTCAATTTGAGTCAATTTGGTCCTATCTCAAATTAATCATTTTGACAACCAAAATGACAAAATTTAAAACTTGAGGAACTAAAATGACAATAAATATATACTTTAGAAACCAAAATTGTCTTTTATCCAATGATAAAATATTTTTCCCATTATCAATGTAAACGGACGTTAGAGGTAAGACTAAATTAACTCAAATTGACAACTTTAAGGACCAAAAGGACAAAATTGAAATTTGATGGACTAAAATGACAAAAAACCACATGTTTTAATGACCAAAACTATCTTTTATCTAAGCTGAAAAAGTTAATAAGTTGTGATATAATATTGCAACTGAACACCATTAATCAACTTATTTTAATCAAATAAGTTTGCTTATAAGTGCTACCAAATGGGACCAATGTGATATAAAAATGTAGTAAGGGTGGCATTATTGAATTAGGGAAATGCTACAATACACACTTCCTAAAAAATGAGTGTACCATAAGAAAATTATGACATTGTGCTACAAAGTGTCATGACCAAATCACTTCATGTCATAACATGAATCATAACCAAACACCTTTGAGGCATAATCAAAGACCGCTTCGGTTATAACTAAAATTACAACTACAATAGACTGTAATTAAGTTATAATTAATATCATAATGTGTCATAACTGTGGCAGTCGAATAATAATGATGAAATGTGGATAAAGAGCTCAACGGTCCAGTGTTATAAAAACCCGCTGGGCCGTAAGACATAGTCGAATAAGCATGGATGATCTTAATGGATGCCGAATAGATAGTGACAAACGGCAAGCCCATATTAAAGGCAGGCTGTCCAATACAGCCAAGTGAGCCCAAAAGAAATGAACAAAACACAACAGCAGAAACTATAAAAGGAGAGGGAAGGCGAAAACAAGAGGTATGTGTGATAAAATATAAAAATCTCAAGAGTAAAGAGGAGGCTAGAAAAGCCGGTACTAATTTCTTCGTCGGAGTATTAATTTCAGCATCACCGACCAGAACGTTCTTTTCTATCTCAAGAATCTCAACGGTCTGACTGGATTGAAAAAATATTTCTAAATCCATTTTACCACAATAACCAAATACCATTTAAGATATTTCTAAATAGCTCTGCAATCATGACCACAATATGCCAAAACTAAGTTATCATCAACCTCACGATGGAGCAAAACTAAATGCTACAAATATTATAATTAGGTACATATCATCCACATTTTTTTAAAGTCTGTATAATTTCCAAGTCCCTAAAATGATACAATAAATGCAGTGCACAAACTTTTCTGACGATAACAAAATAGAGAGAAAAAAAGGCTGAGAAAGTGAAAGAGGACGATACAAATTTGTCCAAAATTTAAGTTGCTTTTTCAGATTCCATCAAATGGTTAATTAGTTTAAGTTCCAATTCATATTGCAATTTTAAAAGATTTGGTTTAAGTTTCCATTTATATTGCAATTTTAACAGATTTTAGAAGTCATGCACTTCAAAACTCATGTATCAGTTGGGTTCAGGTTAGTATTAAACATAACATTAAACCAATCATATAAAATTTTAGTTTACAGACTGGAACCAAATCAAATCAATTCAATTCAATGTAATTTGAATTGGTTCAGGATGAAACTACAAGTTTACTATACTAAAAATAACTAAATCAATTAATAATAAATGATTAAAATAAATAACATTTTTTTAACATAACAACCCACCCATAAGCCACGAGGGCTTAACAATGGGAGTTGCCTGCACCAAAAAGGATCAAGATTATCCTAGCGGATATATATTTTTCAAATTTGGGATGATTTGGGTTGCTAGGCCACAACTCTGGTGCGCTTGATTTTAATACGTATGGCAACTACAATCTGATTCCACAAAACATACATGATATTCACACCAATGTATGGAATGGGATTAAATCCCAGTTGGTTTTCAGGATGGCATTAAGGTGATCGTGTTTATTGTCAGGTAAGAGATGGGCAAATAAAATATACTGAAACTCTAATAATCTCATCAGCAAACCAAAAAGATTGACTTCCCTCTCAAAAATTATAAGATTTAACATCCTCCATAAACATCACAACTGAGAATAAAAACATGCTATAATCCTGACAAAACTCTTTGGAGTAACAACTAACAAAGTAGGAAGAAGCCTAGTAACTTGACAGGAGCAAGGGATATCTAATTGGGAACTAAAATTAATGCTCAAAAAAATTCTCAACAGTTTCCCACCCAAATTAGTACTTAACAGAAGCAAGCATGTCTAATTGTGAACCAAGCTTCTCCTCTGCAATCTTCTCAGCCTTGATCCTCAGCTTTGTCAGCTGCTTCTTTCTCTCATATGCCACCTGGGACCGGTCTTTCCTCTTTTTCTCCAGTTCCTGTGCGTTGAATATTATAAGAATTTTACCACTTGGAAAAAAAACCACAATCATGTAGAAACAACCATCTAGATACATCAAATGGTGGTTTCCATTAGGCAAGGCAGCTCAGATCAGCAAATATGACACAACACAACCACCATCAATTATGATAACTGGTGAAGGATGTAATGATATAGGTGGCATGGAAACTTGAAACCTCTTCCAGAACACACTAAGAGATCCCAAATGTATTGAAGCAACTCAAAATTTTCTAACCACCAGACCAGAATGTTGATTCCATATAATGAAGGAACCATCAATTAAGGCAATATGACACTTGGATCTAACAACACCAAACAACCACGTAATTAAAGGCACCACCACATGGTTTTAGGTTTCATCAACCTATAAATTGCAGCAAATTTGTACTAGCAAAGAAGCATGGACACGGACACGGACACGGATACAATACGAACACGCCGACATATTAATTTTCAAAAAATGCATGACATTACACATGGGGGACACGCATAAAATATATAATTTTATATATGTTATATATATAATATATCATTCAAAAATAATAAAAAATGCAATATGACACTAATTCCTATAAATTTATGTGGATTTTTTTTTATTATTGTATCTTAAATTGTTTTGTTCAAACTTATAATTAGTTTCACACGTATCTAATCGATAGACACATGTGTTTAAGCGATTGACACGTGTGTCCTCCAAGTGTCCAAAGAGTGTCTAAATTTTGAAAAAAAATTTAAAAATAGGACATATTTTGAAGAGTGTCAGACACTTGTCCTAAGACTATCTAAAGAGTGTCGGTGTCCGACATGGACACAATACGAATACGTCACCTTCTTAGAAGTGTCTGTGCTTCTTAGTGTCCTAGCAACATTGCCATCTCCAAACATTGAAGCAGCATTATCATCTCCAAACATTCAAGCAACAATAGATTAATGTTGGACATGCCTAAAACAGTGCACTTCAACACAAAAGAACAATGCAAAAAGAAAGCAACATGGTAGTTTGAAGTCCACCAAACCATATGTCAAGACAACCGTACCTAATGTCAACCCAAGAATGTTAGAACATTTGTCCAGACCAAACATTGTAGCAAAAAATGTAATTTCAACAACACCATGTTCTAACACATCAATGCAACAAGGAAACTAGAAATTAGTATATCTTAAATTGGCATTGCCTAAAGGAACATTTTACCTAAACAATGATCTACTCATTAAGCATGATATTTTTCCATATATCAAGACAACTAAGCAACAGGACCAATTTCTAGCTAAAAAGCAATTACAAGATGAAGGTACCATTCTAGTTTAAGGTCTAACCAAACATGGTCAAGGCAATTAATTATATGTACAAGCCAATATCTTAATTTCCAATTGTCAAACTAACAACATTTCCAAGTCCAGTCAGACATGTATTGAAGCAACAATGTAATTCAAGCACCACCATGTTAAACATACATATAACAAAGGCAAGAAGAAAAAGTAATAGGGAAATGCTTCCAGTACTCTGAATTACTTCAAACCTTAATGAATATTTTTACCAACAACAATAAAAAAAAAAAAAAAACATCGTGCCGGATAGGCATACTATCCGACCTTAGATGCACAAGATGAGGTCAATGCAAAATGATTAAGATTAGCACCATCATCATAATCAAAATTAACTGTGCAACAACAATATAAACAACAAAAACAGTTGTAGGAAGCATAAACTAGTAGAATTTCTGATGATAAATAACTAGAAAAATATATCAACAGAGGAAAGCTCACCCGGATGGTGTCATAATGGTTCCATCCAACCTCTGATGAGAGCCTTCCCAACAAGCAGTACTTGTGTCCAGACTGAAGTCTCAAAACCCTGATTTCAAAAACACCAAACCGTACAACAAAATTAATTAATCAAACAGAAAGAAGAAAAGAGAAGTAAAAGAAAAAGCATAGTAGAAGAAATCTCACTTGAGAGCATCAGGGATGACCATCCTCTTCATCTTGTCATAGGGTGGAGGGACACCCTCGTAGGCCTTGAACCTCGCCAGCGCAGCCGCTCCACGCTTGGTCTTATGAGGAATCATCCTACAAACAAACAATCAAACAATATATATATAAGACCAATCAGTCAGTTAATACTATGTAGAGAGAGAGACAGAGAGAGAGAGAGAGAGACCCGCGGATGGTGCGCCAGAGGATCTTGGAGGGGGCGCGGAAGTGGATGGGGCCGTGAGAGGGCTTGGTGTTCATGCGTTTGCGGAGGAAACGGAGGTACTTCATTTTCTGACGGACCAGGCCCCCCGAGAGGCAGATCTCATCGCAGCGTACCACCACCACTTTCTGGCCGTTGAGGAGCTCCTTCGCCAGTATCGACGCCAGTCTTCCCAGCATGTGGTGCCGAGCATCCACCACCACCCGCCGAGCGCATATTCCCGATCCAGACACCATTCTCTCTCTCCCTCTCTCTCTACACAACGGAAGTGGACTGTGATTTCCTTCCGTATGCTTATATATATGTATTGTAAAGAGAAGAAGAGCTAGGGTTTTTTGTGTGTGGACTGTGCTGTGATGCAGCAAAAAATGGGTTGACGTCTTTCTGTTTGTTTTTGCTACTACGAGCGGCAGAATGGCCACCCAATGCGTACTGGGCTGACCTATTTCAGGCCCAATGATGATGCCGTCTGTTTGAACTTCTAACATAACATTTTAAATTATTCTGTTTTATGTGGGTCTGTTTGGTTATATTTTGAGAAAATTACAATAATTTTTATGATAGGACAAATTATGCTCATATCCTCTTTGAAAGATCACTGCTCTATTTTTCAAAATCTTTTGTGTAGACCTAAAACTCCTCTGGAAGCCTTTCTTCTTCTCTTTTTAAGAGGCCGTTTGGTAGAACCGTGGAAAAGTGATTATAGATTATAACTTAACAGATTATGATTTATAACTGTGAACATAGGCTGTGAACCTGTTTGATACATCTATGGGATTATGGATTTAAGCAGCAAAGTAGTATTTGGTTAATAAGCTGTAAAATAACTTTTTACAGTGTAATTGTCTATTTTGCCCTTATATGATATAAAAATGATTATTTTTTAATTTTTTCAGTTTTAATTTTAAAAAAATTATTTCATTAATAAAAGTTAATATAATTAGCATCAATTAATACTAAAATTAATAATAGTATCAATTAGTTTAATTTTTTTTATTTTTTCATTGTGAATGAATTAGGTGTCAATTAATTGCTTAATTATCATCAATTAATACTAAAATTAATAATAGTATCAATTACTATAATTTTTTTCATTACAAATGAATTAGGTGTCAATACTAATTACTATAAAAATACTGAAATTAGTGTCATTATAAAATTAGTGTCATTTATTTTGTCAATTACATTTTTTCATTTAATAGAAGTTATTTCATTTTTTATTATTTTGTTTTGTTTTCATTAATATCAAATAAAACAATTGTTTTTTTTTTTATATTATTATTACAATACCAAAGAAAATACCAAAGAAGTTATTTAATTGAAATAAATTTATATTGATATTAACTGAAATAAAATTATTATTTATTTAAATTGTGCAATTTATTTAATTTTATTTAATTTATTATTTAATTGTGCAATTTAATCATTATTATTGTTTTTATTATTTAATTTTTATTTTTGTTTTTAATTGTTATTTTTATTATTTTGTTTTTAATTATTAATTTTGTTTAATTTATTTAATTTTTTTTTTTTTCCTTCTCTTCCTTCCTGAAACCCTAGCCACCGCCGCCAGTGGTCTGCAACCCTAGCCACCACCGCGATCTGGAACGGCAGAGAGGGAGTGCTGTCGCTCGTCACCGTTCACCAGCCTGAACAACGCCGAAGATGGTTTATTGGTTTGTGAGAAACACACACACAGAGAGAGAGAGAGAGAGAGAGAGAGAGACGACGGTGATGCCTTCAGATCGAGATCGCGGTTTTGAGATCACGATGCCTTCAGATCGCGATGACGGCGGTGATGCCTTCAGATCGAGATCGCGGTGCCTTCAGATCACGAGATCACGAGGCTGTCGATTTGGCTCCCATAGACACTAGGTTTCCGTCGCCCTTCGCCACCGTGAGCCTCTCTACGGCAGTGATTGTAACTCATAGATTTGAATCCAAACACACAGAGAGAGAGAAAGCTAGGGTTTCAAAGAGCTAGGGTTGGTCGGAAATCGCCTCCCTTTCGCCGAAAATCGCCTCTCAGAGGCGTGCGAGAGACAGAAATGAGTTGTGTTTGGTTTATATACGTGGCACACTGGTAATAACTTGAAATGGTGAGGGGCATTTAAGTCATTTTGCCCCTCAAACCCCCAGTTACGCGCTTAAGCTGAATCAAAAAGCACCTCCGAAGCAACTCAAAGAATAATCACTTTTTTTACTTAATTTAAGCTAAAAGTTGATCACTTGAGCTATACTAAACAAACAAAAATCACTTAATTTAAGCTAAAAGCTGAAATGAGCTGTATTTAAGCTCCACCAAACACCCCCATACACACACCGGTATTCATCGACTATCGATTACTTGCTTCGCCCTCACCGATGAAGGAGAAGATAAGTTTTTGATGATATTTTTGACTCAAATCTACTCAAATTTAGCCAAAATCACAAGACAACTCACCGGAATGTTCAGACTTAGAGTAGATCTACATCAAATCTGACCAAATCTAAACAAAAAATAGTTGTTAAAATACAATCCTCTCTCTCTGTATGTTTCTCTCTTTCAATCTGCCAGTTTCTTTTCTTTTTCTCTACTACACATTTCTCTTTTCCTGTTTTAATGGATAAAATTTTCAAGTTCTAAAAAATATTTTTTTGAATTTTAGTTACAAGTAATGAAAATTATAAAATTTTATAGTTTTAAAGATATGTTTCTACTTTTCTCTATGACTTTAGTCCCTTTTTTTTCCCTCTTTGTTAAAAAAAAAAACAAAAAAACAAAACAAAACAAAAGTTGTGACGTGAAATTATATTTTGATAAATTACAAATGAACAAATCAATAATTTTTATAATTTTATAAACTAAAATTTATGTGCTGTGTATGATAAAGAGTTTTTTTTTTTTTTTCCTTTTTTTGTTTGTTTTGTGGTGTTGGAAAGAATGTGATTAAATTTTGCTATATTTTCACTCTAATTTCTTCTTCTTTTTTCCAGTGATATTTTGGACATTCCAATTAGTCTCTAGCGATGTTCTTGATGTCCAGTAACGTTTTGGACATTCCGAAGATTTCTGGTGACATTTATAATACTCCAACAAATTTCCAACGATACTTCAATGACTTTTCGGCGGGTCTCTGGTGAATGTCAAACAGAAGTCCGCGGTAGTGAGATATAGCAGTTTCCTTAAAATTAAAAAAATAATAATAAATAACATTTTTTTATAACAATTAAAAATATGTATGACTAATTGGTACAAGTGTTCTGCTCTGGAACTAAATGGGTTTTGAACTGTTGAAATAAGACCTCCAGGTCAGTGCCCTATATATATATACTTTTAACAAAATAAATTCTGATTTTTTAATTTTAACAATTTGAATCCTAATTTTTTGATTTGTTTTGAATATAAATCATTTGCCTATTTTTGTTATGTAAAATTGAAGGGGAAAATGATATTTTAGTCATTAAACATAATGAAAAATGTAGGGACAATTACAAAAAAAAAAACACAAAATTTAACCCTTGTAACAATATAAATTTTTAATTTTTAATTTTATCAATTTAGTTCATAAACTTTTGATTTATTTTTAATCTAAACCTTCTGGCGGTTTTTGTTAACTAAAACCAACGAAAAAATAGTATTTTAGCCATTATTACAAAAATGTCTAAAATACCCATTTTCATTGAGTTTAATGACTAAAATACCTATTTTTTATTTATTTTACTTAACAAAAATAGACAAATTGTTCAGATTGAAAACAAATTAAAAGTTCAAGATTTAAATTGAAAAAATTAAAAATTCAGGATTTATTTTATTGCAGGGGTAAAACCTTGGGTTTTTTTTTTTTTTGTAATTTTTTCCAAAATGTATTTTAGATATTATATGTACACCTACATTAATTTTAATGCCTAAAATACTATTTTTAAGTCGATTTTACTTAACGAAAATAGACAAATTATTTAAATTGAAAACAAATAAAAAATTAAGGTTTAAATTGATAAAATTAAAATATCATAATTTATTTTGTTATAAGAGTCAAATTTTGAATTTGAATTTTTATTTTTATTTTTTTGTAATTTTCCCTTTTATTTTTATTTTTATTTTTATGTTTATGTTTATGTGCTTAAATAATAAGATGTTGAAAAGTTTGAAACATCCATCAATTTTATTTTTCAGCAAATAGTGGGATGTTTTTATAAAAAAATTGGAAAATAATTCTCAAAAACATTTCACCAAATAAGTTTACAAATTTCAAAAAAAAAACCAAAAAACATTTGGCTCCATTGTTTTGCCATAATATATTTTTCATATAAAATATTTTGATTAACACTTAAAAATATAATCAAACCAAACCAAACCAAGCCTTAAGTCTCATCAAATGGGGTCGGATACATGAATCCTTCTTCTCCACGCGACCCTATCAAAGGCCATTTCGTTTGTCAAATTAAGTAAATCCATATCTCTATTTATAACGCTAATCAAAGTTAATCTAGGCCTATCCCGTCCCCTAACACTTCTATCTACCGTTATAGCATCGCATCTCTTCACTACTGCTTCTATTGGTCTCCGTTGAATATGACCAAATCATCTCAATCGATTCTCTCTCAACTTATCTTCTATCGGTGCTACTCCTACCCGTTCTCAAATACACTCAATCTTAATTCTGTCTTGTCTAGTCTTACCACACATCTACCTTAGCATTCTCATCTCAGCCACACTCATCTTATTTACATGTTGTTTCTTGGTTGCCCAACACTCCGTCCCATACAACATCTCTAGTCTAATAGTTGTTCTATAGAACTTACCTTTAAGTATAGTGGGTATTCGTTTATCGTACAATATCCTAGACGCACTTCTCCACTTACACCATCCTGCCTTAATCCTATGGGCTACATCCGCATCAATCTCCCCCGATGTTGTGATAATCGATCCTAAATAACGAAAATGTACACTCTTAGGCAGTTCTTGGTTCTCAATCTTCATTTCTCCTCTACTTTCATTGTTACTGTTACTAAATTTACACTTCATGTACTCTATCTTAGTTTTGCTTATCTGGAATCCTTTAGATTCAAGAGTTTTTTCTTCAAATCTCCAACTTTGTATTAACTCCTCTAGTCTCATCCACTAGCACTATATTGTCTGCAAAAAGCATATACCATGGAACATCATCCTAGATATTTTTCATCAACTCATCCATAACTAAAGTAAAAAGATAAGGACTTAAGGTAGATCTTTAGTGTAACCCTACCGTGATAGAAAATTCATTTGTCTCTCCAGCAGGTGATCTAATAGTGGTCACCACCCCTTCATTCATGTCCCTAATCACATTAATGTAACATTTTGTTACCCCTTTCTTCGTTAACACCCACCA